TTGAGCCACATCCCCAGCCCCAGGGATACCCTTTTTCAAAATTAGTTTTTTAAAAAAATGCTAGGGATACTAGTATGCATGCATGAAGCCAAGGGTTCAATCCCTGTACCCCCCTCCACACACACACACAAACAATGAGCTATATCATCTGGTTATATCAATTTATTGATAATATTGTAAAATGTTTAAAAATGAGTTTTTAGCAATAATAATAAGTTTTATTACTTCAAAGGAAAGCTCAGTCACTTAAGTTTTGATCAGTTTTGGTAAGTCAATGAGGATACTAGTATTAGAGAATTTTCAAATCTATTTTGAGTTTTTTCATTCTCTTGCAGGTAACTTTACCAGTGTTTATAATACAAGGGGTAATTGACTTTTTTAAAATTATTATTAAATGGTACTGGGGATCAAACTTAGGGATGCTCTGCCACTGAGCTATGTCCCTAACCTTTTTTATTTTGAGATACAGAGTTTTACTAAAATGGCCAGGCTGGTRTTGAACTTGTAATCCTCCTGCCTCAGCCTACCTAGTTGCTGGGATTGTAGGTGTGTACCACCGTGCCTGGCTTTATTTTATTTTATTTTTAACATTTATTTATTTTTGGTGCTGGGGATTGAACCCAGAGGTGCTTTACCACTGAGCTACATCCAAGTCCATTTTAGTTTTTATTTTGAGACAGGGTCTCATGAAGTTGCATAGGACCATGCTAAGTTGCTGAGACTGATCTTGAACTTGTACTCCTTCGGCTTCAGCTTCCTAATTACTTTTTTAAAAAATGGTACTTGCTTGAAACTAACCACAGATATATGATATCTTCGGCTTGAAGTTTATATCCTGAAATTAGCCATAGAAAAGCACTTTTCAAATTATAATTAATCTAAAATATATAAGCCCCAATACTTCAAAACTAGTGATTCATTGCATTTACAGAAGCTGCAGGACCCAGGTCTGCCCCCCTCCCCACCACCAAGTGCTGAGGACTAAAACCAGGGCCTTGCTCATGCTAAGCAAGCATTCTACCTTTGCATTATAGTCTCACACCCTTTAGTTGCTTGTTCAGCCATGTGTCTGATACCGGTTCTTCCTTGATCAAATTTTAATTATCTTTCTCTATGCAGTTTTAAATTTAATATAGTCAAATAAGCTGTCACATGACTGAATCATTTTGCTAAACTGGAGGTTAACAATGTTGGATCTTTTGCTTTTAGCCTTTTCCAGTTGCGCCTGTTCTCCTTGGTGGTCTTTTTAAGCAACAGACTCTTCCACAAGACAGTCTATCTGCAGTCTGCCCTGAGTAGCTCAACGTCTGCAGAGAAGTTCCCTTCACCGCATCCATCTCCTGCCAAACTGAAGGCTGCTGTGGGCCATTGAGTTGCCTGTCATCTAAAGGGGATGGGTGGATTGGAAAGAAGTTGTGGCAGCTCTTTTCTCTATCCTCTCCTGGCTAGGGAAGGCAGGACCCACTCTGCCAAGGGCCCTCTGTGTATTCCCTTCTCTTTGAGGAATTTTTGTCTCTGGTACATGGGAGGCAGGATCTTTCTGACACCAGTATGTGGATTTTTAATACCACCGTGAGTCTGAAAGGACCACAGGTTTTTCTGCAGCTATTTTCTAGCATTTGCCAGCCCCTGTGCCTGGACTGATTTAAATACTTTGTTTTTCTCCCTGTGCCATTTACCCTCCCACCTCTCCTTCCTGCCTTCTAGCAACCTTGGATGAATGGGTTTTGTAATTCTAGTTGTTGTATTTTGTGGGTTTGTTATTTTTGTTGATTTTTCTGTGAAGCACATACATTGGATGTGGGAGGTAAAGGAGTATCTCAGTTGCTCCTTGTTTACTCCCTTTATAGCCATCACTGTCTTGTTTCTTGTATCTCAGGTTAGGTTTTGGTCTCTCTTGCTCTACTGCAAAAAAGTAAAAGAAAAAGAAGCAAAGCAAAAAAAAAAAAAAAAAAGAGCCTGAAGAGATGGGACAGAATGAAAGACCTCACAGCCAGATTGGCTGGGTGTTGAGAAGTAATCTTTTTTTTTTCCTTCCCCTTGAAGGGGAAAAAACTTTTTTCACTGGTACATTTAAAGCTCCCCAGCTATGGGGAGGTACTAGTTCTGGACAAGTGCCACTGTAACACAGAAATGCTCAGAGAAACTGAACTTTTCAACTCTGGAAGGTGGAAATTTACTGTTGGTCACTGCCGGGTCTTACTGGTATTTCAAAGGAATATTGGGTGCTGCAAATAGGAACTAAAGGGGTAAACTTATTAAACTCGTTAAACCTGTGATCAGTGATGTTTTTCTGTCATTTTAAGAGACTAAATATGGGCTGGGAGGGTAGTGGTCAAAATACTTGTACAATTTTAAAATGTAACAATTAAATGTGAGCTGGTTTCCCACAATGTGTCTAATGGCTAAATTTACAAATCATGACATTRAGATATGTATTCATCAAACACAAGACTTAGTCTTGGATAATCTGGTTATAGTTTTTAGAGATTAGCTCTGAAAAATGTCCCCTGAGGAAATTTGGGTTATATATTATAATTATGTGTATATCTTTGGGTTGATTGTTTTAAAGTCTATGTGTATCTTGTGTATTCATGAAGGGAGGAAGGTTCATCTAGATTTCAGTGTACTGAATATGTCATTCGTTTGTCAAGGAAAGAGATCAGACATTTGGTCAACAGAAACCTTCACTATGTATACAGCAAAATAAGGAATTAAAAATTGTTGCTGGGAATTGTAATCTAAGTTTGAACTGCTTATGCAATTGATGGAAGGAGGGTTTTTAAATAGTGGGTATCTTAGAAGTGATTATTATTTCCAGTTTATAAACAAAAAGTTGTGGAAGACATTATTTAAAATATACTTCTAACATTCCTGTGATACTTTTGGTCATTTGGCAGTATTGCAGAGAAGTACTTCYTGGTTGCTGGGGGCAGGATGGCCATTAAAAAAGATCTTAGTATTTCTTCAGCTTGTAATTGAAGAGTAATAGCTTTATTTAAGTATATTGTTTTAAACTAAGTTTTAGAAATAACTAGTTATTTAACAGTCACATCTTTATTGCCTGAAATTTGTTTTTATGCCAAATAGAAGCATCTTCAGTTTAGAAGGTTGAGTGGATGAAAGTACCTGATTTTATCTCCTGCACTGTGCCTCTTAGATAAAAATTAAGGCTTAGTTATAGAAAAGTGAGGAATTCATAGTTTTATTAAGGTAATTAAGGCTAAACCTGTAAAAAGGCTAGGTTAGGCACATCTGCAATAATAGAAATTTGACGACTGATTTTTTTTCTTGCTTTTTCACTAGGGTATGGGCACTGAGCAGTGATTAGGAACCTGAGGTCAAAGGGAAACAAGGCCCTATTTTTGCCCAGTACAGAATGGCAATTTGAGGCAAATTAATAATTAGTAACTAAAAGCATGGGAACTAAATGAAAGTTACTTGAGATTTAATAACTGATTCAGTAGGATCTGAGGAATTATAAAATTTCTTTTCAAGAACAGACATGACAGCTTGGACAAGCATGTGATTCAAAACACCTTTTTATTCTAACTTTACAGTCCAGTTATCCTTTATAGCAACTCTTGAAGTTCAAGTAGAAAGTGGATGCTTCAGATCTGAGCATGTTGGCTAGAAACATTTTTTTTTTTTTATTGCAGTGCTTGGGGATTAAATCAGGGCCTTGTGCATGCCRGGCAAGTGCTCTACCACCCACTAGAAACTTTTAGATAAATCTGTCTAACTGTTGTGCACTTAATCAAGGCTAAGGTAAAGGATTAAGAGGAATTATGACTAACTGGAACAAATCTAGAAGATGGTAACTAATGCTCAGATGTTTGTAAACCACTTTGAAAAGATTACATCTATGGGCGGGAGAGAGAAGCACAAACAAAAGTTAACTTAAATTCTGATAACTATGCAGAAATTTGAAGTTACTATATCCATAAAGTAAGAACAAATTGCTGTGAAAAGGAAATAGAATTATTGGAAACAGTTGTAGAAATTAAAATAAGATGGTTTATAAAAGTGCCACCGAGGAGGCTAAATTAGAAAACTCCAAGATAAAATCATGGAAATTTCCCCAAAACAAGAAGACATGTAAAAATTATGGTGATTTTGAAAAACTAGAAGATCTAGCATCTACTAATAGAAACTTCTGAAAATAACAGAAAAACAAGACAAGAATAAATTCACCCTAGGTTTGAACCCCAATGTTAAAAAAAATAGATGAAATTGGTTTTCAGATAAAGAGCTTGTCATGTCTAAAGCAGGAAAAATGAAATAAAACAGATGGCTAAAGAAAAATTTACCAAAGAGAAAAATAGATTACCTATAAAGGAATGTGTCTCAGATTGCCATCAGCCTTCTCAATACAACACTGAATGATAGAAGATAAATTGTAATGCCTTGAAGTATGCTTTTATGTGTGTTTATGTGTATGTATGGGATGGGTAAGACCCATTTTTTTCCTTAAAATTCTAAATTTAGCCATGCTCTTAAGGAAAAATACGCCATTTTCAAACATGCAAAGGCACTTTTGGCTTTCTATTCCGCTTTTCTGGAAATAAGTTATTTGAAAGATCTATCAAAAATGAAAGATCCAAGAATAGAAGTTTTATTAAAACACCAAAACAACGTGAAACAGCAGTGTGTTGGGAGGAAGTCTCAGTCATAAAGCTTTCAAGCACACTGAGAAAAACTGGTGCTGGGGAGAAAAAAACATACTTGTTATGCCAGTGTGCCACAGATAAGATAGAGGTACATGCTTCTTTTGATCAAATGATAGTGCTATAGTTTGGATGTTCACTGTCCCCCAACAGCAGATACTGAAGGCCCCCTCTCAACCCCCCACAGAAATTCATGGCACTATTGGGAGATGGTGAAACCTTTGGGAKGTGGGGCCTAGTGGAAAGGAAGTTAAGTCATTGGATGTGTGCCCTTGAAGGGAACATTAGGACCCTGGCTCCTCCTCTTCCTATTTATTCTGGTACTGGGAATTTAACCCAGGGTTCTCTACCACTGAGTTACATCCCTAGCCCTTTATATTACTATTCAATTTTAAGGCAGGGTCTCACTGAATTGCCCAGGCTAGTCTTGAACTTGGGATCCTTTTTCAGTTTCCTGAGTTGCTGAATATTGATATAGGCTGCCATACTCAGCTTCTCTTCCTTCCTTTGCTTCCAAGTTGCATAGGGTGAATAGGCCTTCTGTCCTTGGATTTCTGCCTTTTGTGTGCTCACAACTAAAGACCCAAGTAGGACAGAGCCAACCAATCATAGATTAAAACCATTGGAACCAAAATAAATTTTGCTCCTTTTTAGTTTTTCAGAGGGACAGAAATCTGACTAGCAGAGATGGAAAAGGTATAGATACTTCCAGAACACCAAAAAGTCTACTTGAAAGTTATTATTTTGAGCAATTGATGGAATAGTAAATACAATGCTTTTTAAAACAACTAAAATCAAAACTTTTGATCAGGAGTGAAGAGAATTAACTGAAATACTGAATTCATCTGTAATCTGTGGGTTTGTAATTATAGTAATTTTTGTATGATTTAATTTTCCTGACCTTGATTTTATTTATAGATTTTTCTGTGGACCTGTATCAAAAACTCATCCAAGGGTCTGAGGGTATAGTTCAATGGTAGAGTGCTTGCCTAGTATGTGTAGACCCAGGAGTTCTATCCCCAGCACTACAAAAACAAAAAACTCATTTAAAAAATAAGCTTAGGTTTTAAACTTTGTTCCTTCATGTTCATTTTGGTTTTTGAAAAAAGTGGCTTAATTTTATCACCTAGAAATTTAATTATATTGCTTTTAAGGAACATGTTCTAGAGTGCTCACCTAGCTTGTGTGAGGCATTGGGTTTGATCCTCAGTACCACATAAAAGAGGTATTATGTCCATCTACAACTTAAAAAAAAGTTTAAAAGTATAAATGGCCAACAAGTAAATTTTTAAAAAGTGAAAACAATATTTTAAAAAATATTCTTARTATAAATGGTATTTTTTAACTTTAAAGGAAGAAACCCAACCCTTTTTTTATTTTTGATAAAGAAAAACTTGTTTTGAGGACACATTTACTTTAAGTTCTGTAATTTCTGCATGTTCAGCTTTAATTTCCTCCTGTTAAAATTATGTGGAATACTTAATAAAAACAGAAGGATTGGTCTATTCAATCTTAACAGTCTCAGGGATGATCCTGGTCATGTGAATTTTAAAAAGTGCCTTGTGCTTTTAGTATTGGGGATTGAATCTAGGGGGAGCTTAACCACTGAGGAACATGACCCGGCCTTTTTTTGTGTGTGTGTGTGTGRTGCTGGGGATTAAACCCAGGGCTTTGTGCATGTAAGGTAAGCACTTTACCAACTGAGCTATATCCCCGACCCCCTTTTTCTTTTTAAGTTGTTTAGGGCTTCACTAAGTTGTTGAGGCTGGCTTCCAATTTCCTCCTGCCTTGGTCTCCCCAGCCGCTGGGATTACAGGCACGCGCCACCGGCCAGGCCAATGCACGTGATTTTTGAAGCACTAAGTAACGTGCTCTTTCCTAGTTTGATCAGTTCTCGTTATCGGAGAGTAAATGGGAACATAAGGTAGCGGCAGGGCACCGAAATTTGAAGAGTGGCTAAGGCTTCCTTCTTTGGTATAGCCTTTGCCCACTGATGCATGTAGGGAGCAGAAGTGAGTGAACATATTGATGTGTCTGAAAGTTGATGGATTTGGTTGCTTAAATTGTGCCCTCTTCCCTGCCCTCAGCAACATTTTTTTTTTTTTTGGAGGTGGGGGGCGGGGAGGAGAGAATAGAGGCAAGTTAGGATAGGAAGGCCAAATGTCTTACGGAAGGGTGAGTGAAGGAGGACTGGGCTGCCTCCTGGTTTGGCAAAAACAAAAACAACAACAACAAAAAATAGGTCTACTCTTGGGAGAACTTTGCTGGAGGTAACGACTGTCCCTTAGTCAGGCACTGGCGGTTCTTCCATCTTCACCTGGATAGCCCTTTTAGGCCTAGAAAGGCTCTTTCCCAGCCAGGGGCGGAAGAAATGAAAATGCCTAATGAAATGTTAGGGGTCTCTTGTCTAACGCAGTTACCACAGCAAGTAAAAACAGCTCTCGAGCGAATAATTAGCAGATGAATCCTGCACAAGATCGAGCGGTCGGTCTGSACCAGGAAGCGTTTGACTTTTCACCAACAACAGAACAGCTTCCCGCCTCTCCTTTAACCTTTTATTAGGCAACGGTCCATTTCTTCCTTAGAAACAGAAAAGCTACTTCACGATCCCGCCTTTTAGGATTGGTAGCAGCAGTACCTAAGCGTAGTTTCCGCTTCTGGTCACATGGTTGCGGTAAACGGACCACACCTTCTCGACGCTACTTCTTCCGGGTCTGCAGTCTGACACGTCACTCCTCGTTCCTCAACCAAACTGCTCCAAGCACGCTCTTTTCTCGCTCTTTGCTTTCACGAACCGGCGTATGACAACTCGGTGGGAGCTCATAGTCCCACCTCTGGACTGATAAATGATAGTTGTACTAACCAATTAAGAAGTGGAATCGTGGCTTGGTCCCCGCCTCCGAGCCTGACAGACAACGTCGTGATCTTATCGCTCTCCCGAAGTGTCTTATTGGTCTGGAGCCAGCCAATGGGGAGCAGTCAGGGGCGGACTCAGCCGTTGCCAGGGTTGGGTGCACCACTGAACGGATGGCAGAAGGAACCWAGCGGGTTCTTGAGGAACGCCGGCTAGGTGAGAAGGCAGTAGGCTATAACTTGAGGATTAGCGTCTGGTGAGGTGCAGGGTGTTGGTGGGCGTGTACCAAGTTCATGAGGCAGGGCTCTAAAAGGTGGTGGGGAGCAAAGCTTAGGACCCTGCATAGGAGGGGGCGTGGGGTGTGGTGTGGGGGACCTCCTGGAGTGGAAGGAGGTGAAGGTCTGGGGAAGGAGATCGCGGGGATGGGGCGTGCGCTTAGGCTRGGACTGTGTGGGAAAAACTGGATGTTGCAGCTAGTTTGGAGGGGAAGACGCTTAGGGTGTTGGGGTGGTGGGGGTCCAGCGGCTGGTGGGGTCAGAGGTTCTCAGGTTTGGGTGGTTGAAAGGACAGGGACCTGCCAAGGAGACCTGAAGGGAGGAAGGGGAGCAAACTGTGTGAGGGTGTGGAACGTGTGTAGGAAAACGGGGCTGGAGAGGTTGCAGTCGTGGAAGTTAGGATAGGGGTGGGACAAGATGCCAGAGGTAGCAGGATACAGTTGAGGAGGAGAGCAGAAAGAAAAGTATTTTAAGAACGTGTCTGTGCTCTTATTTGTTTTGGCGGTTTGCGAAAATGACCAGAAAACACAGGATGAAACCTTCTCTTAGGGTCCGGCCTTAAATTACCAGTTCCTTTACTCAGTTTTCGGGTTGAGGTACACGCACACTCTCCTTATTTTTATAGGTGTGTAGGCTATATCAAATCAATGGTGTTAAGTTTGTTTCTGTTTCTGCCATTCCAGAAAACGGCTTCAAACTTTAGAGATAAAACTGGATTGTTAACTTCCTGGAGTTAGGTCTTTGATTACACCATAAGTTTTTCTTTTGGGATTATAATTAAACACTCATATCTAAATCTGCTCCTCTGCCCCGGTTAATTATAGAAAATATGTTTGACTTCTCAGTTTGGAGACTAGGAATGTGTTTCTTCATGCCTTCCTCCTAGTCCAGTGTTATTTTTTTCCCTCCTTTCCTTCTAGTAGTGGGGAAAAGATTAGGACTAATGCAGGTTCCTTTCATTTTCAGCATAGTTTTGAACAATATTAAATATTGTTGTTATATTCTTAATTCCTTAGCCCTTGATCAGCTTATAATTTAAGAAGGTAGTACTGTTTTATACAGAAGTGGCTAACCTGCAACCTGCTGTGGTAAAGTAATGCTATGTAGCTCTTSACTATCAAGTATTACCTTTTTTAATAGTCTATAACTACTTCCTGAACATTTTGTTTTAATTTAATTTTCCCCTCCCCCTACCTTTTTCTGCTTCAGTAGGAAAAATTTATTTCTTTTCCCTCAAGATTAGCATCTGGTTCCATGAATTATCTCTGTGTCATGGAATCAGTTGCTTTAAATCAGCAGTGTCAGTTACAGAGAGGCTTTGAAACAGATGATTTAATAGATCTGTGCAGAAGTTGCACTGTCATTTAGGGATTAAAAGTACAGTGGTCTGTGTATGTTTATGTTCCCCTCTTGGGTGCATACTTTTACTTGCATTAATGAKCAATCATGGCTTTTAGTTAACCCTACAGCCCTGTTGAGATTTGGAAAAGAAAGAAGCTTGTTGCCAGTCAATTGAATCTTATATTTAGGGCTTGAAATTGTGCTGATTCAGTCATAATTTCTGTTTTTCCTCTTTTTACTTTCACTTCTGTACTTAATGTTTACTCTCCATTTCTTACTCCCCATATATTTGACTTTTTCTGAGTGTTTTCTTCATATTTTTTCTCATTTTTCATGTTTCCTATTTATTTTTGCCACTCTCCCTTCCATACTATTTTGTTATTACTGTTTTTATGGTGCTAGAGATTGAACCCAGGGCCTTGAGCATGCTYACCATGTGCTTTGCTACTGAGCTGCTCCCTAGCCCTGCTTTTGTTATATGATACTATTGCCAGTTGTACTTAAGTACAGTTGTATTTATGTACTTAGATGTGAAGGAGAGGGAGGCTTAAACATGAGTGGTTTCTTTAGATCATTTCTTTTTACATTTTTTTTGGGGGAGATTGGGGTACTGGGGATTTAACCTAGGGGCATTTTAACCACTGAGCCATATCCTTATCCCTTTTTACTTTTTATTTTGAGACAGGTTCTTGCTAAGTTGTTTAGGGCTTTGCTAAGTTGCTGAGACTGATCTCAAACTTGTGATTGTCTTGCCTCAGACTCCCAAGATGCTGGAATTACAGGCGTGTACCACCACACCGGACTCCTTTTTG